ATTCAATCTTTAATAATTGCCAAATAGATCCGGCCATTTTATCCTTTGTATTCTTTTTCTTTTCCCTCTCTCTCTCCTCTCTCCCTCCATCTCTTTTCCTTTAGTGATGCAGGTATTCATGATCGTGTTGTCATTATGGGGTTACTGAAAGAAGTAGCTCAATCACACTCACTGGACACTAGCCACAAAGACTTTAAAGGTCAGTAAACTTGCTATAGCAGTTTGTAACTCCAATTTTGATCAGAATCAGCTCAAACTATCCAAAAAATATAAGTATATGCTTATGTACCAGAAAAAATTATAAAAATATAGAATTTTATCCTTTTTAATTTTGGCAAAGTTTGGCCCGAGGTCATGTACTATAGTACAGTGTAGGAGGGAACTGAGCCCTTAAATAAACTTTTTCTGTTTTAACAAAATAGATATAACACAGGGATAAATAGTAGTACAGGGACTTTTGTGTGATTTTGGAGCAACTTTAAAAATTTGTAAACGATTCAATTTTGATTGGAATCAGCTCAAACTTTTTACGCAACATAAGAACATGTATATGTATTAGGAAAAATTATAAAAATGGAGAATTCTCAACTTTTTAATTTTGTCAAAATTTGGCTAAAGTCGTTGTACTATAGTACACAGTCCCGGGTCAAATTTTTGAACAACTTTAAAATTTTCATAAAAAATCCAAATGTGATTGGAATCAGTTCAAACTTTCTATACTACATAAGTACATGTATATGCATCGCAAAAAATTATAAAAATGGAAAATCTCAACTTTTCAATTTTGGCAAAATTTGGCCCAGGACCATGACTTTTACACAATTTTGGAGCAACTTTTAAAATTCATAAAAAATCAATTTTGATGGGAATCAGCTTGAGCTTTCTACACAACATAAGAACATGTATATGTATCAGGAGAAATTATAAAAGTAGAGAATTGTCTCCTTTTCAATTTTGGTAAATTTTGGCCCGAGACCGTGTACTATATATAGTACAGGGACTTTTACACAATTTTGGAGCAACTTAAAAAATTCGTGAAAAATGCAATTTTGATTGGAATCAGCTCAAAATTTCTATACAACATAAGAACATGTATATGTATTGGTAAAAAATTTTTAAATGGAGAATTCTCTCCTTTTCAGTTTTGGCAGTTTTGTTTTACTCTAATATCTATGCCATGATTTAGTTAGTTGTTGACCACACCCATAGCTTATTTTAATTATCATTATAACTATGCAGTCAATAATAATAATTTTTTTTCAAATTGCTTAAAATATCACAGTACAAGTAATGCATATCACTCAGGTGAATTCCAGCAGGCGAGTCCATTGCACCATAGTGCTTCATTATTATTGTAGATATGCAGTGTCCTACAGTATGTTTGTCATAAAGAATCATTGACTATACCAGATACACTAGCCAAGAGGATTGCAGAGAAGTCAGAGAGAAACCTTCGTAAAGCTATACTGCTTTGTGAGGCGTGCCGTGTTCAGCAGTAAGTGAATCAAATTCATCATGATTAATGATTAATTGGCCATGCAGTAAACACATGCATCTACATGTATTCAGATCTGTTTGTGTAAATTTTTTGACCTTATTATATAGGCGATAGCCTATATGTAGGATTGAGGTTGGTTTTTCAAGATGGCTGCCGTTTTTATGATTTTCAAACACTCGTAACTCTTTTATCTTACGTTGTACAGCCTTATAAATGGCTTAGATGAGCTCTCCTTTACTAAGCGATTCTCCTGGTACCTTTAAAGTGGACTCTAGCGTAGCAGGAGCTTTTTTGGAGAATAGGCCAAAATTCAAATTTCTGCAAAATTCTTCAGACTTTTTCTTCTTTCAACTTCTTCTATCGCCACGATAATCTTTTAAACCAGAGAACCACTCAAGTTGGCTTTTACATCATTCCTTTGTGCTTGGGTCAAGGATCACAAAGGTGGATTCATAAAGAAGCGAGGAGAAAACAAAATGGAAGTCAAAATCCAGCTGCAGATACCGCGTGGGTTTGTGGTTTGACGCCATTTTAATTTATGCGCACGTGATTAGCATGAATATAGCTAACCACATAATCATAACAGAATGTAATTTATTAATTTAAGAAAAAAGAATGGAAACAAGTAAATAAAAAACATCAAAAATGGAAAAGTAGTAGGATTAAATTGTAAAAAAGTAAAGAAACAAGAGGGGACTTGCAAACTGGTGTGATAT